TCTCTGTCTTTTAATTAGTTTGGATAGGGGTTTGTCGATCTTGTTGATTTTCTCCAAGAACCAGCTTTTTGTTTCATTGATTCTTTGGACTGTTTTCTGTGTTTCTATTTTGTTGATTTCAGCCCTCAGTTTTATTATTTCCAGTCTTCTACTTCTCCTGGGCGCGTCTGCTTCTTTTTTTTCTAGAGCTTTCAGGTGTGTTTTTAAGTCCCCAATGTATGCATTCTCCATTTTCTTTAAGTGGGCACTTAGTGCTATGAACTTTCCTCTTAGCACTGCTTTCATTGTGTCCCATAGGTTTGAGTATGTTGTCCCTTTATTTTCATTAAATTCAAGGAAGACTTTAATTTCTTTCTTGATTTCTTCCTTGACCCAGGTGTGGTTCAGTAGTTGACTGTTCAGTTTCCATGAGTTTGTCGGTTTTTTGAGGGCAGCGTGGTTGTTGCCTTCTAACTTTAATCCGTGATGATCTGATAAGACACAGGTGGACACTGATATTTTTTTGTATCTGTGGAGGTTTCCTTTGTTCCCGAGTATGTGGTCAATTTTTGAGAAGGTTCCATGAGCTGCAGAGAAGAATGTATATTCTTTCCTATTTGGGTGGAATGTTCTATAGATGTCTGTTAAGTCCATTTGCTTCATTACCTCCAATAATTCTCTTAATTCTCTATTAGGTTTCTGTCTGATTGACCTGTCCCTTGGAGAGAGAGGTGTGTTGAAGTCTCCTACTACTAGTGTGTGTGGTTTGATGTCTGCCTTGAGTTCTAGTAATATTTCTTTTACATAAGTAGGTGCTTTTATATTGGGGGCGTATATATTCAGGATTGAGACGTCCTCCTGATGAATTGTTCCTGTTATGAGTATAAAGTGACCATCTCGGTCTCTTCTGATTGATTTTAGTTTGAAGTCAGTTTTGTTAGAAATTAGTATGGCCACACCTGCTTTTTTCTTAGGACCATTTGCTTGAAACACCTTTTCCCAACCCTTTACTCTGAGTAGGTGCCTGTCTTTGTGGTTGAGATGTGTTTCTTGCAAACAGCAGAATGTTGGATCCTGTTTTCATATCCAATCTTTTAGCCTGTGCCTTTTTATAGGTGAACTGAGCCCATTAATATTAAGTGATATTAATGACCAGTGGTTGTTTACTCCGGTTATTCTTATTGCTTTTGGTAGTAGAGATTGTGTGTCTCCTTTCTTTGAGATGTGCTCGTGAAGGGTCATTAGATGCCTGGGTTATTGTAGGCAGTGTTGGCAGTGTTGGATTCCTTGGGTTGCGATTTTCCTTCTATTACTTTCTGTAGGGCTGGATTTGTGGCTACGTATTGTTTAAATTTGTTCTTATCCTGGAATGTCTTGTTTTCTCCGTTGATAGTGAACGATAGCTTGGCTGGGTATAGTAGTTTGGGTTTGCATCCATGGTCTCTTAGCTTCTGCAGAACCTCTATCCAGGACCTTCTGGCTTTCATAGTTTCCATCGAGAAGTCAGGTGTAAGTCTGATCGGTTTACCTTTATAAGTTACTTGCCCTTTTTCTTTTGCAGCTCTTAATATTCTTTCTTTATTCTGTATATTTTGTGTTTTGATTATTATATGGCGAGGAGATGTTTTTCTTTGATCCAGTCTGTTTGGTGTTCTGTATGCTTCTTGAATATTTAAATGAATATCTTTCTTTAAGTTGGGAAAGTTTTCTTCCATAATTTTGTTGAAAATATTTTCTGGGCCTTTGAGCTGTGACTCTTCTCCTTCTTCTATTCCTATTATTCTTAGGTTTGGTTTTTTTATTGTGTCCCATAGTTCCTGAATGTTTTGTGTTGAGAATTTGTTGGCTTTGCTGTTTTCTTTGATCTGTTCGTTTATTTTCTCTATGGTGTCCTCAGCATCTGAGAGTCTTTCTTCTAGCTCTTGTATTCTATTGATTATGCTTGTTTCTGTAGACTCTGCTCGTTGGCCTAGATTTTCCATATCCAGCTGGTCCTCAGTTTGTATTTTCTTCTTTGCCTTCATTTCAGTTTTCAATTCTTGAACTGTTTCCATTACCTGTTTGATGGTTTTTTCTTGGTTTCCCAGGGTATCATGTACGTATTTACTCATTTCTTCAAACTTTTTGTTATACTTCTCATCCATTTCTATAAGGGCATTTTTTACATGTTGTTTAAGGGACTCTATTATCTTCATAAAGTCGATTTTTTCCACTTCTTCTGTGTTAGGTTGTTCAAATACTTCTGTTGTAAGATCATTGGGTTCTGATGTTTTCATGTTGTTTTTCGGATTATTGGGTGAGTTCTTGCCTTGGCGCCTGCCCATCTCCTCCTATTGATCCTATCCAATGGATCCTTTAGAAACCGGATCAGGTTTCCCTGCTGGCCAAGGGCTCCGCTTACAAAATGCCCTCACTCTCTTTCGTGGTTCCTGCTGCAGGCCAAGAACCCTCTCACCCCTCCGAAGGATCTTCAGGACAGGACCAGGCTCCCCTTGTGCCAGTGACCTGGCCAACCAAAGGCCTACCTCTTTGATTCAATTGTAGTAGGGCGATCTGCTCTCCTTATTGCACGCCTGTCCCAGCCGCTTGGGTCCGGCCGCCACTGTGCCGCGTCTGGCGCCGCCGCCGCAGCGCCTCTGTGCGTCTGGCGCCGCCGCCGCCGCCGCCGTGCCTCTGTGCGTCTGGCGCCGCCGCCGCGCCTCTGTGCGTCTGGCGCCGCCGCCGCTGCGCCTCTGTCCATAATATCTTTCTAAGTGGATGTCTGGTGCTTGTTCTTAGTACAGGTCAGACTAAGGCTTTACTAGAAATCTGAGGCTTAGGTAGCAGTCATGTATGTACAGTCTATGACAAGCCTACATGTGTTCAAGCCCTCTCAAGAAGTCTCTGGGATTTGATTCCTGTTCCACTACTTACTACCGATACCCTTCCCTGTGCAGTTAGAGCTGAGTTTTGGTTGTGTTCTTCAGTGGGCTACTTATAGGTTGAGATCAGTAGTTGAGACTGTAAGGACATTGTGGTGGTTTGAGTAAGAAGGGCTCCCATAGGCTCATATTTTAGAACGCTTAGTCATCAGGAAGTGGAACTCTGAAAGGATTAGAATGATTAGGACATGCAGCTTTGTTGAAAAAAGTGTGTCATTGGGGTTTGTTTTTGAGGTTTTAAAAGCCCATGCCAGGCCCAATGACACCCATTTTTCTTGAGTCCGGCTCGTCTGGGGGGCATCATGGTAACTGTAGGGCCAGTGAAGAAACTCATAATCCACACTGAGTCACCTGAGCTTCCCTTACCACACCACTGTCAGGCTAACTCTTCCCCAGACTTTAGAGCCCTCAATGAAAAGGAGAACTTGTTAACTGACATCTCAGTGTCCTAACGAACTTTGATGCAAGACCCCATAACCAAGCTTGTTATTAAGTGAAGTGTTTGAGTTCTTAATTCCATAGACCTTGAAGCAGCAAGGTTTAATATGAATATAGAAGTACAACCAGTTTTAGCAGTACCTCAGAAGTGGAGCTGTGGTCAGATGTAGGATCTTCCAAAAAAAAAAAAGTCTCCAGCAAGAATAAACTAAGAAGATACTCTCATGTGTGTGTGCTGGGGGGAGGTGTTAAGGTGTGCTTTTATGCATCTCAGGCTCATTTGGAACTTACTATACAGCTGAGAATGGTCTTGAACATCTGATCCTCCTGATTCTACCTCTTAACTCCTGGGATAACAGGTGTTTGTCATGATACCTTGTTTATGCAGCACTAGGGATCAAACGGGCTTTTTGTGATAGACAAGTACTCTATAGACCATCTCCTGTGGCTGAGACTGTATGTAGTATACTTTCTTGAGTCTCCACAAGATCCTTTTGTGATGGACGCCCTATTGCACAGGCAGCAAAAGATTGAAAACAGGGACACTGCTGCTAGGGAACACAAATCCATCAGACAACACCATGATTGGAACCTCGTAAGTGCTCTCTGGTTCCTATAGACCTGGGGTAAGCAGGAGCTCTCCTCTTTATGGAGTATTCTAAAGACTGGAGTGAGCAGCATTGTGAGGCCTCTTAACTCCTGCTGGCCATATAAGTATTCTGTGCCTGGTACAATTGCCCAAAGAATGGGCCCAGAAGACCATTTCTGTTGTTTTAATTTTTCCTTGATTACTAAGTCCTGGGTCAACCAAACTGACAAGGTTATATCAAGTGTGGACAGAGGCAGGTGCGGTCTGGGCTTCAAACATTAGGGACCAGGTTCATAGGAAGAATGGGGCCCCTGGGAGTAGGTGAGGATGATGCTCAGTATTAACCTAGAGTAGAAACTTGAGCATGGTTGACTTAATGTTTAGTTTTCATCCAGCTACTAGAACAGTTTTTATCTGCTTTAGACTAATGCTCTAGTCCCCCACATCCATTGAGACTTCTAGCCACAAATCACATTTCTATCCCTTTGACCTGATCCTAGCCCCCCACACCCACAAATTCACTTCAATCTTTCAGGTTCTCTGTGCATTTGTTCTTCCTCCTTGAGATCCCAGGAGGGCTGCTGCCCCACCTCCAGAAAGGCCCTTACTCCCTTGTACTTGAAGGCCAGGTATAAAATTCTACTTCCCCTGAAGGATTTGACATTCCTCAGCAGAGTCAAGGCCATAGCAATGTCACTCTCTTTCGGGGATGCATCCTTACTCTCCAGTATCCCTGTAGTGGGCGTGCCCCCATTTTCCTACCCAATTAGGCACACCCCCATTTCCTTGCCGTTTCCTCAAGGAGAATTTCCTTGTGACGTTTCATCTCCTCCCTTTCAAGGTCTGATGGCTAACTCCAGGGTAAGTCTGGCCACCGAGGGATATGGGAACCCTACAAAGGTATGCAATCAGAGTTGAGGGAGGATGAGGCTTTATTGCTTGGCTTTTATAGGCTTGTTTTAGTAGTGGCAGTGAATGGGCAGATATGCTATGGAAAAGATTCAGATGGTAAACTAAAGAATGGAGGCATAGCTTAGGGAAGTCTGAGCAAAGAATGCCCAAAGGCCTGGTGCTCACGCTGGGGCCTGGTCTTGAGCCTCAGGGATAAATACCAATAGGAACCAGATTTGTGCAACTATGAAGATGTTGCAGGTTTGTGGGGAGCCAGCAGCTCTCAGAGGCCTAGGTTGTAGTTCTGTGTGAGGAGACACAGATCCAGATTCTGGAAGTGGAGTAAGTCCCTTGACTTGGCTGATCCAGTCAGTGAAGTAGGTGACCCTGGTAAAGACGCTGGGGTAAATGGGATGTCGGCAGTCCAGGCCCCAACTAGCCAGTCCCACCAGGACCCATAAACTGGTTTGGTAGCAGATGAGGGGACCCCCAGAATCACCCTGAGGAGAGAGAGAGTAATTAGTGTGCGATCTGCTTAGGGCCACAAATACCAACTGCATGTTAGGATCCTACAGAGCCCAGACAAATGAGGACAAGCTGAAAACTTATGGACTTTTCCTTTTGCTTACCATGCCTCATGTCTAGAAGGGAAAGTTTAGGGACTTGTAAGAAAGCTAGTTCTGCTAACCTATGTGTAGGTCCTGGCTCTGTAAACCTTGAGCTGATGCAATATATTCAGTCAACTCCTCTGCCTTTGGTAACCTTGGTTAGGTCTATTTTCTCAACTTGTGAATTGGAACTCTTGAAAAAATATGCCCATCCCTTGGCTGGGTAAAGACAGCTCATATCAGAACACTTTCAAAAGTAACTTCATTTGTGAAATCCCTTTAGGAAAATCCCATGGGAAATCCAGTCTATAATGGGGACTATGTCAGTTCACGAGTCGGAAGCCTGCAGAGATGGGGAAGGCATCAGAATCCAGACATCTGGGCCCTGGTTGTGCCACTTCACTTCAGACCAACTATTTTCCTTCTCTGGGACAGTTTCCCCAGAAAATCCACTATGTCCAATAGTGAGTTTACTTCTATACCATATAGAGAGTTCCCATAAGAAACTGACAACCCAACAGCAAAGTGAGAAACTTGAAACATCACAGAAGACAGCATGTAACAATGAACATACAAAATGCACTTCGTGGCAAGATGGGTACCAGAAGCGTACTAAGTCAGCACTGAAAACATTACCAAACGGGTTACTTACAAATTACATATTTGTGTATATGTTATGCCTCAATAAAAAGTATAAGATATGCAACAAAAATTGATGTTAGGATTTGCTAAAGCTATCCTCAAGGAGACTATTGAGGCATGAACCCAAGGAAAACAAGTAGAGGTAATGAAACAAGAAGTGTGGGGGTCTCCACAAAGACTAGAGGACAATACAGCCATCTTGGAGGAACTGAGATAGAATAGGCATGGGGAAGATACATGACTGCCCTGCTCACCCGGCAGATGGACTTTCCTGTGGAGAGGCCTCCGGCACACAGCATTTCCTCATGCACATAGTCCTTGTTTTGGCCTGGTCTTCGCCCATATAAGGCATTACAGAACTCATTCTCAATGATGCCCACTTCACCCTCTTGCAGTGAGAAGGGTGGTAACAGTTTTGCTGTGAAAATAAGGAGGAAGTCAGTGATGGACACTGTGACTTAGCTGGGAAGTACAGGCTACTTTGACTGGCGCTCACCATAGGACATCTGAGTGTCAAATTCTGTTTCCATCTTCTACCTACTTCTCATGAACTTCTCTCCTTTTTCTTGGAAACTCCTACTTACCTTCCTCATCTCTCTTACAGCAGCAGATCACAAATCTACTATATAAGGAGGCAAGTCCTACTAACACATTGTGTCCAATGTTGTTAAGCAACCTTTATCACTAATCTTTATCCTATATCTTTATCCACCCATTCACCCATAAACCCACTTATTTTTCATTACCTTTATCAATCTATCTGTTTTCCACACACAACCTTCCATCCATCCATTCTTTTATTAGTGTTTCCATCTATCCTGCTGCCTCATACCTGCTAACACTTCTTATCCACAACACCTATGCACCCATCTTCCTCCCTCCCTCCCTCCCTCCCTTCCCCCTCCCTCCCTCCCTCCCTTCCCCCTCCCTCCCTTCCCCCTTCCTTCCTTCCTTCCTTCCTTCCTTCCTTCCTTTCCCCCTTCCTTCCTTCCTTCCTTCCTTCCTTCCTTCCTTCCTTCCCTCCTTCCTTTTTTCCTTCCTTCCTTCCTTCCTTCCTTCTTCCGTCCCTCCTTCCCTCCCTTCCTCCCTCCCTTCCTTCCTTCCTTCCTTCCTTTCTTTCCTTCCCTCCCTTCCTTCCTTCCTTCCTTCCTTCCTTCCTTTTTTCTTCTTCTCCCTTACTTACTTGACTCCATCTCACTCACCTATCCACTGACTATGTCACCAATAGCCTTGCACTAGTTAAAGTGATACAAAAAAACATTTTTAGTTGGGAAAACCAGAAAAACTAAATTGATCTACTCATTTGTGTCAAAGAAATAACACAAGGAGAGGTAATAGTACAAATTATCTACTTTAGTACACATAATTAAGTAAAATGCAGATGGGAGACTGTAAAAATAAATCTAAACCAATCATACCAAGACTAAAGGGGAGAGAAAATTGCAGAGAAAAAAGAGGTGCTGGGGTGGAAATGACCTCAAACTTATTCAAGGAGAATTAAGGAAGCTGGGGTGGGGTTAATGAGGGAAGAAGTAGGTGATGAAGCAGACATGGATCAGGGTGCTATCATCACGTAAGACCTTGACAGGGATTTTTTAAATTTTGATTGAAAGCACAAGTGAGAAGGAGTGGAGGGTTCTGAAAAGGAAAATGAAATTGCTATGTTATAAAGCAATGCTGACGGCCACATAGAGACTCACGTAGAAGCAATAAGAATAAAAGTGGAGGACCATTTTAGAAACTACACTCAAGAAATGGGAGTTAATTATGCTAGGCTATGTAACAGCAGCACTGTGCAGTATCCATCAGGTATTAGACTGGTATTGTAAAACAAAATGTGGGCCCTGCTTTCAAGAATGTGTGCATGGGTGAGGGGAGCAAAGCTCCTCAGGAAGACATGTTCTTCCCAAAACACCTAAAATACATATTTTGAGAAGAAATGTGCCAAATTATGATCTTACAAATAAGTAAAAATCTATATTCTTTTTTATTTACATTATTCCATATTTCTAAGTCATAATCCTTTAATAAATGCATACATTTCTCTACTTTCAATCTAAAGTAATAAAAGCTAGGGGATCTTGGTGGCTCACTGGTAGAGCCTTTTCCAATATGTGCAAGGCACTGGGACCAATCCTCAATACCAGAAACAAACAAACAAGCAAATAAAACCAAAACGATTTCTCCATTATGTAGTTCATCTGACAAGGCTGATAAAGCCAGTTGAGATTAAGTGAGATTAAGCACTTAGGAGCTGCAATATTTCTCACTTAATCATGCATTCTCAATGGTCTCAAATCACATGTGACTTTCTGCTTTACTCAAGCACTCCCAAGATATTTGGTAATTACATGTATTATACTTGGATACTAAGTATTCAGGCCAGTGTGTTTGAGGCCTTGTCCTCAGCCTGTGACACTATTAACTGAATATCCTATTAGGAAGAGGTAGAGCCTAGTGGCAGGAAGTTAGGTCTCTGGACATGTGTGTCTGTTGAGAAGATACTAGTACACTGGCCTCTGATCTTCCTCTTTATTTGCTTCCTGACCACCATAAGGTATGCATCATTATTCCACCACACATTTCCTCACCACAATGTGCTGCTTCATCACAAGTCCAAAAAAAAAAAAAAAAAAGGCGGGGGGGGGGCAAATTATCATGGTCTGGAAGCTCTGAGCTAAATCTGTGAGCTAAAATCAACCTTACCTTTTAAAACTGATTACATCAGGTATTTTGTTACAAGGCTGGAAACTTGATTAACATGGAATGTGCCTGCCTCTACACATGACTTTTGAGTTTAATCAAATCACTTCAGATCCATGATTGATTGAAATCTTAGAAGAAAAAACAATTAATATTCAAAGAGCCTAGATTCTAAATGGCAAATGTCAACAGTTCCCCACCTTCCGAACCTGGACTACAGGGAAGTTTGTGGCTATGGACTCTTCACACTTTCAGGGTTAGAAGACTCTATAATGGATTTCTCATGTCATAGGCTATGGAGGTGAGGTCCCAGCCTGGGTCTCTTGCCAGCTGAGACCTTTTCCTTCCTCCTTTCCCTGCCCTCTCTCCCTCTCCAACTTCTCTTTCCCTTACTGTCTTCAGAAAGCATTCCCCATCCAGTTATCCAACAGGATGTGTGGTTGTGGAGCTGTGCATCTTTAGGTGGGAGGCAGGCAGGCACAACATAGGATGTGAAGTTCACGGGCAGTCGCAGCTGCAGCATGGCAATGTCACTCCCAAAGGAATGAAACTTCTCAAAGTCTGGGTGTTTGATGATACGATTCACAGACATCTTCTGAGTGTGCTGTGTTTTCTGGTATAGCTGAGTATTCCCCAGCAGAACCTGATAGTCCCCTGGGGCCTGGGATTTGCTGAAAGATAAAGGAGTCCATCATCACCATCATCTCTGAGTGGGAGGATAGCCCCGTGTTCCTGAACCCTCACTTATCACTGGCCACTCTGCCCTGATTCCATGCAGAATGGTCTCTCCCTTTCTGACAGTCAAGTGTTGTGGTGGGTGGAATGAGAATGACCTCCATAGGTTCATATATCTGAATGCTTGGTACCTAATTGGTAGAACTGTTTGGGAACTACTAGAAGATGTGCCCTTGTTGGAGGAGGTGTGCCACTGGGATGGCTTTGAGGTTTTAAAAGCCCAAGTAATTCCTAATTACATCCCATTTTCTGCCGTGTGCCTGAAGATAAGATGTAAAGCTCTCAGGTACTGCTTTAGTGCCATGTCTGCCTACCTGCGGCTATGCTCCGTGCCATGATGATCCTAAAATAGGGAGTCTCAATAAACATTTTTAAACTGCTCTGTAGTATCTCATCATGGCAATAGAAATATAACTAAGACAGAATTTGATACCAGGGAATGGGCTGTCACAGACCTGGTCAAGTTGGTTTTATTGAAAAAGAGCAAGTAGGGAAAAATACAAAATGTAAGTTTGAAGAGACAAGGAACACCTCACATAGCTATTCCTGCAACTTGTAAAAAGAAAAGCTCAGAGGAATTATTTGTTCCTAAAGAGCAACAAGTCAAGGCTTATGCATATGTAATTTGAGGGAGTCAAGTTTTATCCTAAACAGCAAGCAGAATTTGGTGGCATCAGCTATGTAGTTCTGACTTTAGAGTCATGGAGAATACAGAGTAAAAGGTTTGTGGAATCTTTGTCTGTTAAGAAAAGCTTCCCTGCAAGGAAGCCCAGTGAGGCCATTGTGTGAAGGTGTGAAGGTGAAGCCTGGGTTGTGCTGGAGACCTCAGAATATGGGAGGTGCTAGAACTGCAACTGTAGACCTGTCAAAGGGAGTTGAACCAATCCCAGAAAGAAAAGTTATGTTGCAGTCAGAAAAGTTGGAAGTATAGAACCATGTAAGTCCTTTGACACTGGACATAGAGCTCCATGATTTGGAGTTTAGCCTGCTGGGTTTCCATCTTGCATTGGTCCATTACTTCCTCACTGTAGTTCTGTTTCTTCCTTTTTGAATGGTAATGTATATTGTGATACCTACCATTGTATGTTGGAAGAATGTAATTTGCTTTTTTATCTTATAGGGGTAACAATTAATAGATTGTTCTGAATCTCATAAGAGACTTTGTACTTTGAAATGGTGTCGAGACTGAAAGACTTGGAAATTTCTGAAGTTGTGCTAAATGCATTTTTGTATTATAATATGGCCACAGCCTAAGGGGGTCAGGGAGTAGAATGTGGTACTTTAAATGAGAATGACCTCCATAGGCTCATATGCTTGAATGTTGGGTTCTTAGTTGGTAGACATTAGGAGATGAGGCCTTGATAGAGGACCTGTGTCACTTGGGGGTGTGTGAGTTTTTAGGTTTCAAAAGTCCTAATCCATTCTCAGTTATATCTATTTATCCAGTTTGTACATGTGGATTAATATTTAAGCTATCAGCTACATGGTACTGCTCCAGCACCATGCCTGCCTGCAGCCATACTCCTTGTCATAATGGTCATGAACTCAAACCCTCTGAAACTGTGAGTCCCAATAAACATTTTCTTTTATAGGTTGCCTTGGTCATGATGTCTCATCATGGCAATAGAAAAGTAACTAAGATAGGAGCCTTCTTTCTCCAGGCTGATGGATATTCTACTCAAACCTCACGACAAAGTGTTCCCCATTATATCTTAGAATTGGAGGAACAAAGAATTTCAGCACTGGAAGGGTCCCTAATAGAATCTTCAAATCAAACCTTTTAAATTTTTACTTAAGAAAAACTATGGCTGAATCCTAGTTTTGTGATTTAAATCTTAAATGTTATTGGCTTAGGAGTAAGCCAATAACTAAAGGCATAGTCATCAACCTGTGGTGCTATCCAGAAAGCGTGGAACATTTAGGAGGTGAGACCTAGTGAAAAGAAGCTATGTCATTGGGAGAATTTCCTTGAAGGGCCCTCACTTCTTTTCATTGTTTTTGTTTCCTAGCTACCATGAGGTGGTCAGGCCTCCTCTGCAAATGTTCTTGCTGTGATGAACTGTGTTATTATATAATCAAAGAAACATGCCAACTAACTTTGGACTGAAACCATGAGTCAAGATAATCTTTTTCTTTTTCTTCATTTTTTGGATTGTTTGGTCACAGTGATGGAAATCTAGCATATTTTCCTGCCCCTTTAACAAGGACTGCTTCTCCACTTGATATAAAGCATTCACAAATGAATTGTGAGTCAAAGGGAGCTTTCCTTCTTGTTCCTGATAGGACTGATTAAACAGCTTAAGTATCAGCTTTTTTTCCCACAGCTTCCACACTAGGAGGATCCTCACCAGCTCCACATACCCAATTCTTCCTTCTGGTAGCCCCAGTAGTTCCTTTCATTCCTCTAAGATTGCAGCATCTTTGTAGATTTATGTTCCTTGGGGCTACCCTCTTCATATTGTTTGGCATGTCTCACGTGTATCATACTGATTGAAGCTTTTTTCTTCTGAGAGAAAAGAAACCTTGACCTTGGATCTCCTACATTCTGTTCCCTAAAAGGTCTTGGGTGAATGCAGCACAAAATAGGTGCCAACAGGATTAAGCTGGAGCCTCAAAGCCAAAAAGCTGTTTCAGTTCCCCGGTCTGGACTGTATAGCACCCATTCCCTCTGGGTTCCTCCATGTCTTATCAGAAGCTAGGCCCTCTTGTCAGACTCCAGAGAGCCAGAGGAGATAGGCTCCTGGCTGTCCATAGCAGTTGTTCAGGTTTGGGCTACGGCACTTTCCATCCATATATCCTAATATGGCATAGGCATGACCACAGTTTTTCCCAGGGCTTAGTTTTATTAAAGTAAGAAATTACCTGGCTGTTGGTCATATGTGGTCATTTCCTAGAATCTGACTCACAGGAGAGAAAGGGACCATGAAATAAGATGAAGTCTACAGGTAGACAACAAAGCATGGCCAATCCTCTTGGAAAACATCTGTGTGAGTTGGCAGGCACAGGGTGGGAGTATAGGGATCCCTACAGAAGCTGAGAATTAAATATAATGAGAACCAGGAGAGATCAAGGAAGTTTTGATGTCATATGGGGCTAATCCAGGCAGAGAGGACGGCAGGTAGAAGTAGACTGCCCCAGAGAAAAGCCCAGAGGAGAAAGGCAAGCTATCTCTAACTTCCTCCTCTCATCCTGTATCTTTATCACCACCCAGTCCCTCTCTGGGGGCTCCAGACAAGGCAAACTCACTTTTGAAAGCAGTGGGCTGTGGAAACAAGCCAGTGGGAATCAATGAGGACAGCTCCACAGAGATGCAAGCCCCGGTACAGCAGGCTGGCCTGCCACGGCCACTGGCCAGCCAATGTATCTCGGCCACCAAACACTTTCCCAACCATCTTCGGCTTCCCACAAACTGTGGAGACACCCCCGTGCAATTTGTTAGAGACACAATTCCTGAGAGGCAGAATAACTCCCTAAGGAAGACCTTCCTCCACTTCACAGATTAGAAGATCATGGCAAAAACCAAATAACCTGTGTAAGTGATTTGGGGCCACCCTGGTCTCTGCTTCCACTGGCTACCACCTGGGACATGAAAAACTCCACTGACAGTTCTGTGGGAGCAAGAGCTCAGGAGTCTGGAAAGATGGGATGAAGCAAACAAAAGGCTGGCCACAGAAGCCTATCCTTAAGTGGGCCTCACAGGCAAGTGGACAGAAGGGAGGTTTTATGACTTTGTTTCCTCAAATAACACAGCTTTGTGCTTACTTTTTAGATCACAAGACTAGAAGTCTCATAGGTGACTGATATTAATTATTCAAGGTAATGACTTCTCAGTGACTGTCCCAAATTCAATCTGCCCAATACCCAAGGGAGAGAGAATTGCTGGCAGGACTTTGTGGTGCTGATGAGTGACCCGGAACAAGTTGCTTTACATTTCTAAACGGAGACCAAGTGAGGCCAATAATGATAATTTTGTTTCTATGATTCATCTGGGAGGGGATTACTGAGCCCAGATCTTTACAAGATTATCTTCTCCCAGGAATCAGCATCCGAAATCTCAGGGAGCTTTGTTCCCTTTGCCCTCATTCTTAGTAATCCCATGCTTTCTGCCACTACCACTGGGTCAGCCCTGGACACCACCTTGGTCCCACAGCACCACACCAGGCTCTAGGGAGGAAAGAGTCAGTATCGGAAGAGAACCTAAGCCCCCTTGGCAAAAGGGGTTCACTACTTCCGGGTGCCTTGCGTGGCCTTTATGGCCTCCACCCGTCACCCGCCCACTGGCTTTCAAACAAACCTTCTGCTCCGCTCATAGAATCCTGATGCTCTCTGGTCAACGGTTCCCAGCCTTGCTGTGGCCCCGGTCTCCATGGTGCTACCCCAGAAAACTTTGAGGGGCTGGGGACACCAGACTTCAGAACAGAGCCAGCCTTGGGGCTCAGGGGCAGCAGAAACATCAGGGGCAAGAGTAGAGGACTGGGCCCACAGGCGATCCTCACCACCCTAGTGCCCATCCCAGATTCCAGGACCTATAGGGAAGTTGGCCCTGACCTGAGCCTGACCCCAGCTCCGACCAGGTCCTGACCCCTGCTGGGACGTTCTTGACCTTGCCTTGAGATAGGACTCCAAGCCCTGCCCCCATTAGGCTTTCCTTCCCGCTGTCACCCAATCAGAACTCCTCCAAGACCACAGTGCTCCTTGCTCTAATTCCTGCAATTACCAGCCTCTAACCCATGTGCAGTGTAGTCAGCAACAGTACAATGGAAAGTTCCTATACAGCAATGAACAAAAGACATGGAGTACAACCACAGAAAATAGGAAATGATATGAAAGGGAAATTCAGGCTGGGGTGTAGCTCAATAGTATAAGTAGAGTGATGGGGGAAGCTCAGGGGTTCACTAGGACATCCCCATACACCCCATACACATAGAGAAAGTTAATTTGTGGAAGAAGGAGGAATTAAAAGATCCACACAGAGGGAAAATGTAATTAATTCTCAGGAAAATAAAACATGAAATGTATCATTTCTAGTCATCAAATTATATATAATAGCTTCCCAGTATTTTATTAATCAGCAATTTATCTTTATAGTGGTAGTAGGCATCTGAATCTCAAAGACATATCCCCTCTTACCCCACATGTGATCTGAACGTATGTGAGAGCACACCATTTCACATTTACCATATCAGTCTTCATCACTCAGGCACAAACCGGACTATAGGAACTTCTACTATCACTGCCTTGGGGAGAGGAGGATATAATGTAAATAAATTCAGACCCTTCAATGTGGGATTCCCCTCTGTATGCTGTAAATATGTTTTATTGCCATCGGTTAATAAAGAAGGTGTTTTCAGTCAAAGGCTTAAGAGAATATAGCCAGGTTGAAAAAGATATATATATATATATATATATATATATATATATATATGGAGAGAGAGAGAGAGAGAGAGAGAGAGAGAGAGAGAGAGAGAGAATGAATAGGCAGAGTCAGGGAGAAGCCAAGTAGCCCCTGCAGGAAACAAATGCTGGATGGCGTACAGAACCTTACAGGTAGGCCACAATCACGTGGCAATAAACAGATTAATTGAAATGGGTTAATTTAAGATATAAGAGCTAGCTATAAATATGCTAGTATGCCAAGCAGTGTTTAATTGATACAGTTTCTGTGTGCTTATTTTGGGTCTGGGGGGCTGAGAATAAACAAGCAGCCTATGCCTTCACCTTAATGTAGATTTGGCCACTGTCAGTCTGATCCTAAAGACTTCCTAGCTATATCTCTATATTGAGATGTAGACATTCTCCCGAACATGTGCTGACCTTTGGCCTGGGCCAAGTAGGCAGTTTCCTGCAACATTCAGGCAGTAGAACATGGAGGTAGGTATCCAGCAGAGCCTGATACCTACAAGTCTATGTAAGATGGCAGTCGGGGACAAGTATGTCCAGTTAGGTTTGAGTCTTAACATTGTATGTGGAAAGCAGGTCACAGGATTTTGAGCAAGGCCTGAACAACTGTAGTATATTTTGGGGGTGTGAGGAATAGGTATCCTGCATGGCCTCATGCCTAAGTTCAAGTTTGGTGGTAGATATCCACCAGTGCCTGAACCCAAACAACCGTGGTTTGGGTGTGCTGACTGGGTATTGAGGATGGCCTGATGTAGTGTACATGTATGTGACCCTCTACTACATGTCATCCTAAATATACTTCTCATCGTCATGTCTGCTGTAGCTCCCCTTGATCATTCTAAAAGTAGTTAGGCCGCTGACACTGGATTCCCCTGAATGTCCCACATGCCTTGGTAGGTACTGGTCTAGGATGGATAGTCTTGATTGTCAATTTGACTACATCTGGAACCAACTAAACACAAGCTGCTGGCAACTCCTGTGAGTTCTTTTTTTTTTCTCTTCTTTCTTTCATTTTTTGTTGGTTGGTTGGTTGGTTCTATTGAGACAGGGTTTCTCTATGTACCCCTAGCCATCCTAAAAGTTGCTCTGTAGACCAGGCTGACTTTGAACTCAGAGATCTGTATACCTCTGCCATCCTAGTGCTGATATTAAAAGCATGCACCACCACCGACCAGCATTTAAGGGCTCTTCTTAGAGTAGTAGAAGCAGGACAACAACCCTAAATTTGGGCCCACCTTCTGGTGGTAGTTCATATGGATGTGGAAGAAGGAATTTTTACTTTATTTTCCCTCACTCTAGCCAGCAAGCCCATCTATCCTATTACTGCACCAGTATTAGAGACAGCATCTTTAGGATTCCGACATAGACTGAGCATCAGCAACTCTCTAAGAAGACTTCAGGGCTTCAGATTGGACTGCTGAGAAATTCAGCCTCAATAACTGAACAGCCAGATTTTTGGCCTCTCCATGGCAAGGCAGTCATTGTTGGAGCACTCAGACCACATTCTGTAAGCCAGTCTAATCCCCTTTTCATTATGCACATACACACAGTAATACAGACTCCAGCCAGGAAAGAAGATCAGTGCTCTGTTCAGTCATCATCAGAGAAGCTTCCTCCTTAGCAGATGGGAACAAACGCAGAGACCCAAAGCCAGACATTATTCAATGAGTGAGAAACCGTGGAATGCTCAGCCCAAAGTTGGCGGTCTCCATTATATCCCTCCCCTCAGAGCTCAAGGAACCCTGAAGAAGAGGAGTAAATAGTGTAAGATCTGGAGGGGTTAGAGTACACCAAGAATACAAGGAGCTCTCTGTCAACATGATTGATGCACATATGAACTCACAGAGACTGAGAGAACATGCAAAAGACATGCACAGGTCTGCACCAGTTGGGGTCTTAGAGCTGAAAGAAATAGATGCATGTCCCCATCCCTAACCCAGAAGCTATCCCCAGGTGATGACCACTTCAAAATGAAAATTTAGTTTCTTCCAAGGAAGTCTTACTGGGAAAACAAACTACTTTTAAGGGTAGACTGCATGGCAAGCAGTATATGGCCAAAAGAAAATGAACTCAATGGAATCTTTGGGGGCTCCTTGTCTCATAATGTTATGTTAGGGCTTTTCCTTTAATTTTTAAAATTTTAGTTTTGCTTTATTCTATTTATGGTTTTTCCTTGTTTTGCCCTACAGGTCCTTTGCCTATGTATTGTGGCTTCCTGAGTGGGCCTGTTTCTCATGCCTTCTCTTGAACCCTTTTCCTTCTGTTTGTTTTGTTCAATTCTGATGTATTGGTTTTGTTTTGTCTTAATATATTTTATTTTGTTTTACTGCTGCCCCATAGAAGCCTGTTTGTTTTCTGATGAGAGACAGAAAAAAAGTTGAATCTGGATGGGAGGGGAGGAAAGGGAGGGACTGGGACGAGTGGGGGGGAGGGAAAACCCTAATCAGGATATATTATGTGAGAAGGGAATCTATTTTCAATAAAAGAAAAAAAATGTAAAAACATTTTATAACACTTATACCTATATATGTATTTATTCATTCTATCAATTCTATTACTTTAGAGAACACCAACTAACTAACATGTGCCTTCTGGTGTTTACTTACTTGCCTCCCCAGAGTACACTGCTAGGTATCAAATCCAGTTGGATACCCCACGCCATGTCAACACCCCACCCCATGTCAACACCCCTTATACTACTGTGGAGGGGCCCTTCTGGACACCCTAATGACCCAAATACATTGCTAAATATCAGTTACAGCTGATATCCTAGTATCAGGGTGTGTTGAATATTTTTATGTCAACTTGACACAAGCTTAAGTCATCTGAGAGGGAATCTTAGTTGAGAAAATATCTTCATAAAATTGGGTTGTAGCCAATCCTGTAGTGCATTTTCTTAATTAGTGATTGACAGGGGAGGGTCCAGCCCCCTGGAGGTAGGGTGAGGGTGGGGATAATAGTCTCGGGTTCTATAAGAAAGCAGACTGAGCTGGGTGGTGGTGGTGCACGCCTTTAATCCCAGCACTTGGGAGGCAGAGGCAGGTGGCTCTCTGTGAGTTTGAGGACAGCCTGGTTTACAGAGTGAGTTCCAGACTGACTCCATAGCTACTGAGAAACGCTGTCTCGATAAACAAAAAAAAAAAAAAAAAAAAAGAAAGAAAGAAAGAAAGAAAGAAGGCTGAGGAAGCCATGAAGAGCAAGTCAGTAAGCAGCACCCATAGCTTTTGCATCAGTCTTTGCCTCCAGGTCCCTGTCCTGTTTAAGTTCATATCCTGACTTCCTTCAGTGATGAACAATGATGTATAACTGTAAGCCAAATAAACCTATTCCTTCCCAACTTGCTTCTGATCATGGTTTTTTCATCACAGCAATAGTAAACCTAACTAAGACAACAGGGCCTGCTAATAAGTGGCTAGCCATTCCAGGGCAACTAAACATACACTACTACATTTATGATGCATTAATTGCTGGGTACCCTCCTGTCATTATCACATATAAACTTCCAAGCACTATGGCTTGCTAGGCACCCTACACTCAATGTGACACCTATTCTGCTGGATGTTAGGATTTACTAAATAATTGTCCCCCATTACCGAATCTCTAGCAGTGATTGTGTGGTATCCAGCAGGGGCTGATATCTAACAGTATATGTGATGTAGCATTTATAGAGGTATGCAGCATGGCCTGAATAAAGCAGCATATGCTTAGGATGTCATTGGGGGAAAGGGAAAGGATCCAGTACAACCTAATTCCTAGCAGTGTGTGTGTGTGTGGGGGGGCTTCTGGTGAGCTGGTCAGTGGGGTCTGATAACCTACCATTCAACAGGAATGGTTGACCTGTTGGTCCTGATATTTTACAGTTAGCGTTGGGTAAAGAGTGGAAGGAGGTCCAGCGGACTGTGCTAGGAGGTGCCAGGGAGCCCACAGTGTTTGAGACAGTCACAAGATGGCAGTGTTATCTAGCAGTG